GGCCTTGGACCATGATCAGCCATGTGGGAGTCCAGCACTTTAACTGCCATGCCACCTGTCAGCCCCTAAATTCTTGCTGGTTTGTGGTACTGGCAAAGAAAGTCAAAGCTTTCATCTGGCACAGGTACTCTGCTCTCATTAGGATCAATGGTACAGAATGGGATGTTTTCTGCTGAAAGCCTATTAGTTCTATACATTGGAGAAGGTAGATTTCCCAGCATTTGGTAATCCCACAATACCAATTTTCAGTGAAGTTCCAAATCTTCCAATGATCGGGGGTGGTTTAGTTCCATCATCTCTCTTTTGGGGGGCATCGTGCTTGGGGTGGGTGATAACACAGGGTCCTAGCAGCAGCGGCAGAGACAGACAGGTCTTGCTGGCAGCAGGGGGAGGGGGGAAAGCAAGATACTACTATATGAAAAGTAGCCCTATGATATGTCATTGAATATCACCCTAAAAGCTGTACAGCCATCATGCGAAATGGGCTGCCTCCAACCCTCACCCACGTCCTGTGACTCCTGGCATCCAGGCAGACAGAGGAGAGCAGCCAGGGAGGCCAGGTAAGACTGGAACTGACAGTTAGTGCAATTCTGAGACTTTTTCTTCATGGAATAAATACCACATGAGCTACTTAACAAATAAGTCATTTAGTTTAATATATTTTAGAATCTATTACCTATAAAAGATGCCAAAAGGAGAAAAATACCTTAAATGAAGAAAAAAGCTATGTACTCTATTTGAAGAACATGTATTTGCAATAATTAAGAACTGTTTTGTAAGTCAATAGAATCTATAAAGAGATTTAATATTTCTGGAAATATTGTAGTAGCATCAAAAGTGTCTAAAAACTGTGTAACTCTATTTGAGTGCCATGAGAGGGAAGAAACAGAAAAAGCAGTTTTTTGACATAACAAAATTGCCATAAAAATAAATGACCAGAAAGTATACAACAAAAATGATTTTCTGACAAAAATAATAAACTATGAAAACACAGCAAAACCTAATAACTGAGGCCAATATGTCAATACTGAGATTATAAATACTGAGGTGAGGGGTCAGCAGGTAGTGTGGCGATTAAGGTGCTGGACTCCCACGTGGCTGACCGTAGTTTGAGTCCTGGACCTGGCAGCTTACTTTCTCATTTTCTCTGTCTATCCTCTCTCTCTCTCCCTCTCTCTCCCTCTCTCTCTCTCTGTGTGTGTGTCTGGCCAAATTAAATAATAATAATAAATAAAATTAAATAATTTAAAAATGCATAAATACTGACATAAACAAAGGTATCTACAAAGACTTAGTGGGCTGGTTTCTGGTATTTCCCTTGATGCTTGAACAAACATCCTTCTGCACTATGCACACAACATGTAGCAACTAGAGCCTGAAAATAAATGTTTAATTAGTGTCCAGATACCTATGAATTTTAATGGTTTAATAACATATTCGGAAAAATTATGTTGGAGCTTATTTTGAGTATCAATGTAGAAAACACATTTCAGAAGGAGCCTTAGAACACTGTCTATCACCTGGTCATTATGCCATCACTTTTCTGTTAACTTAGGTTTGTATGAGTCAGCCCCATTTATATCTAAGAGATAGGAAGAAGACTGTAGAGTGGTACAATGATGTATTTAGAGTGCCTTGAATTTTTGAAAGAGGGGACATTGGGCTTCAAAAAAAAAATGTAGAATGTGTACACTGGCTTATTGTCTGCATTGAGAACAAGTTTAAGTCTTGTAGTGATTTGTAAATTAGCATCATTAATGCAGGAAATTAAAAGGGAAGATGACCAGTAGGAAGTGGGTATATGTAGTATGGAAGAGAATCAGATTTTCTTCAAAGGTAGGTTTTAGAGCACAGAAGTTTACTGAGACCATGTCGCTATTTTTAAAGAATACTGAAAGCCGATATGGTCATGTTAGAGTTTTTTTGTTCGTTTTTAATGATGAGAGGGCATGTGTGCTCACCAGAGTGAGAGAGAAAAACAGAGAGAGAGAGGGAGAGGGAGAGAGCACCCTCCCTAATGGGATGTGGTCATGTTGTAATCCCTTTTATCCCACTTCTTCCTGTTAGGATTTTGGCTGCACACATACCTGGTATGTTTTTCAAGCCTCTAGGACCAGGATTCAAACTGCGATCTATCTTGTGGGATCTAGTTCCCAATACACAGCCCTCAACTTCTCTGCTATAGGGCTGCCCCAGCCTTGTCAGAATTTTAAACCTGCTATAATTTGTTCTGCAGGTTTGTAAACATCCCCATTCATAAAATCTGTGAAGAAGTATTTTTGGGTTTATGAGACATTAACTTCTGAATCTGAGCTCACTCCTGTCTGAAACCAGGGAAGGCATCATGTCAAGTGAGAGTATCATTTCCTGAACTTGGGGAGAAGGGTCCTGAAACCCCTACTTTAGACATTTCAATAGCAAACAGTTCTGACACAAACTTCCCCGATGGTGGAAGCAAGTCTTCTGTCATGCACTGTCCTCCTTATTTAATCTTGACATCTTTCCCATGTAGTGACCCGATCAAGTCCCTGGAGATTTTGAACATCTATCCTCTAACTGCCATTAGAGAGATCTGCGATTCCTCCTCCTTCTTCATTCTGCATAGTTCCTAACTATTCCCTTTGACCAAAGTTATTCAGTAAAAATTAAAGATCTCGGAGGATCAAAAGCTGTGTGTTTTCAGGTTAATGCTCTCATAGTAAATGTGAGGTCCTTAATATTTTGGAATAGCAAGGAGGAGAGGGTAGGCAATTGCAATGTTTCATTGTTTCCGGGGAGCAGACTTCCCGCACACAGAATGGAGCCACATCAGGGCATGTAATAGCTTAGCAAGTCTGAAGCCTTGTAGCCTCACTAACAGCAACCACTCATGATCTGATATGTACGGCCCTGCAGCATAGCTTAAGGAAACCCCTTCCACCCTTGTAGTCGTCTGCCTTCCTCTTTACCCTACTAATTAAACTCATGATAACTCGCAGGAAGCACTCAGGTTTAATTTGTCTTGCTTGGCTTCATTGCCTAGCAATATAAGAATGCACACATGGATGTACTTAATTGAAATTGTCTGTAGGTTCCCACCTCAAAATCAGTACAAGCTGCCTTGAAGATGAAACATGATATAAGAGACTTAGCATATGCCAGGCATTACTCTACACGCCCTACTCACATTCGCTCCAGTCCTCACAAAATCCCTAAGTGCACACTTTTATTTTCACCTCCATTTTATGGATGAGGATTCCAATACAGAGAAGGTGAGTGAATTGCCCAAGACCAGGGTCAGAATTGGAATTTGAACTCTGCAACCTGGTTCTAGAATTCATGCTGTTAACTACTACATCAACGTCGTACCAAAGGGAAAAGCTGGAAGGAATACTGAACACGTCTTCTTCAGTCTTTTAGCTCAATTCTTACATGAGGGAGAATTACCACAAAACAGAGGCAGTGGTTTTATTGCTACGTTCTCCTTAATTATGAAAGAAATATAAAGGAAGGGAAAGCTTGCCATTACAACCTAGTTGACTGGTTTCAATCCAGACTGGTTTTATTGGTTGTGGCAGGCTTTTTATTAATTTCTCTGGATCTCATGTGCTCGATCTGTAGAACACATACCAACTGTATGTGAGGTCTATTAAAGCAATAATGTTTAATAGAAGATAATCGGACACGTGAATTTTATTACACAAGGCGAGTTGATGCTCTGTTCCGCCAATGGATTTTCTGTAATTTTGTCCTTAGATCTGTGACACAGGGCCCTTGTGAGGGAAATAATGTTGTAATGCAGTGTGTCAGGAGTTTATTATGCCCCAGGGAGGATCCATGGTGTTCCAAATTCTGAATTACAGCAGCTTATCACATCCACTCTCCCCCTCCTGATTCTGCCTCAGTGCACAGCAGGCGTGGGGCTGGGATTTACCAATTTCTCTGAGTTAATTAGAGATGGAAACTCAGTACAGTCATAAGGAGGGACTTGAGGAGAAAATAAGGTGGCAAGGCTGTAAGGTTGTGGGACTTCGCCTGGGTAGGAGTCTTGCAGGCAACTGTTCCCACTGGGAAGGGTGTGGGGCTCCAGTAAGGGTTGAGACATGAACTCCCTCCTCCTCCCAAACCTCTAATTTCCCTTCTTTGAGTGAAATGATCCGATTTCTACCTTCTAATTTAAAAAGTTCTCCTTTATTCCCTCTCACCACAGGAGTCCTGAAAAGTGTATCCTCCAACACAGCCACTCTTTCTTAAAGCTTCCTTAGAAAATGATGAGGGAATCCCCACTTGAGGAAACTCCATCTTTGATAGACAGCATCCCATGTAGCACCTTAAGAGTTAAATTTTTATTGCAGAGAAAGGGTATTAAGTGTCTTTCTAGGAGGAGATAATTCCCAATTTAGAAACTGCCATTTTTACAAGGTAAGCCAAATATACATGAGTTTGCACTGCTTTCTATGAAAGGAATGGCTCGCTGCTACCAGTGTGCGTGTGTGTGTGTTTGTGTGTGTGTGTGTGTGTATCTCTGTTGTATGCCTATCTGTCATCTATAATAATGTATGTATCAGGAGTAAGGATCGTCAATCACACTTAATAAAACCCCAGAACACGACAGAGATCCCTTTGACAATAGATCTATTTTACTATAGCTCTCAATTTATTATGTCATATAAATCAAAAAGGAAGCGTTTATCTTATCACTGGGAGGTATCCCTTCTCCCTCTGAGTCTCAGCCCCTCCCCCCTCCCCGTGTCAATTCTCAGCCCCTCAAAGATGCTTTGTGCAAGAAAGTGCAAGTTTCCCGTTCTGGCATTATTTTTGTTCTCTTTTGCTCTCCTCCTGGCTCCCCCCCAAAACCAAGCCAGCAAAGCAAATGGCCCGAGTTTCCCCCCAATGCCTGACCTGCGATTACTGGGAGGAGAGCGAGAGAGGGAGCGCGCATTCCGGAGCAGGCTGCTCTGACTCCGACCACAGGCTGTTTTGTGCAGGCTGTCCCTCTCCTTCAAAACCGTGCATCCCCTCCCCGAAGCAGCAGGCAGTGTGCCTCCATTCAGCCACATTTGGTATGCATGAGCACGGCTGCAGAGAGAAGGGAGGTGGCTTTCTTAAGAAGGTTCAGGGGCTCAGGCAACGCCACTTGACTAGTCTTCCAAGTTCCAGGAAGCCTCTGTCCTAATGGAATCTGCAGGCGTGGAGATGACCATGGGATGCCAGAGCCGTGGGGGACCGTTTATTTTCTAGGCATTGCTCAGGTTTGCAGTTTCTGGTTTTCCCGGTGGAATTTGGAAGGGGTCATGAATCAAACTGATGCTCCTCGACCCCTAAACTGGACCATCCGGAAGCTATGCCACGCAGCCTTTCTCCCATCTGTCAGACTTCTTAAGGTACTGTAACTTGCAGCTTTGAATGGCTCTAATTATGCTTTTCAGGTCTGAATCCCCAACTTCACACTTGGGCTGGGACGCACCTTTGGGGGAGCACAAATGCATGTAGTATTGGCTCTGTTGCCCATGACTGGAGAGAGGTTTGCGCTCAGCACCTTTCACCTCCCCCACCCCCATGGGGTGTCAGGGAGGAGAGGATGGTGTGAAAATGAGATTATGGTCACAGAGAATGGGCAGCCTGAGTGCTCCCCCAACCCTTCTTACCCCTCCCTAAAACAGAATCAATTAACTTCTTTGGGAGGGTGGGAACAGGAGTGGGAATGAAACCTCTTACCCCCCCTGTTTGGCTTCTGGGTTTTTTTTTTCCCTCCCTGGGGAAACCCTGCGACCCACTTTTCCTTTAAATGGAACCTGGGAGAACAAAGGATTCTCCTCATTATTTTAAAAGCCCTGAGTAGTTAGGTGATCAGTCAGGTAAAGAGAGACAAAAAATGAACCTCATCAGATAGTGACTTTGCTTGGCGTCCTTGTTTTTTAAAATAGGCATAATTTTAGCCTCCTGAGTGAAGGCAGTAGTGGAAAGTATTGTTAAACATATATTGAACGTAAGCTCTGTCTCCAGCTCTGAGTCACACAAAAGAATGGTACTACACCTGAGCTGGAATTGCCACCTCGTACCGATAGTGCTCTTCTTTCTAGAAACAAATATTAAAGATACTGAAAATGTCCACACAACTTCATAATAATCCACCTTCATCATCTGCCTTGTAAGGAAGGGAATACACATAAAATTGAAAGGTGCAGAAAACAAGTATTTTTGTCTAGAAAAGAGGAAGTGTTAATACTTATTTGGGAAGAGTGCAGGTCTCTGATTTTTTTTTTTAATCCATTTAAAGTTAAAATGGCAAGGCAAAATTCTTAATTCTCTTTTCCATGTTGTATATGATCTTTTAATTTAATTATTATTGGACATTTAGTTCAATTGCCTGCAATGGAGAATGAATGAATTAGCCCTGAATAAATTACACTTGCAGAATTTGAGGGGAGGCTGTGTTCTGGTTAAGTTTCATGTGGACAGTTAGTTCTATACAGCTAAGTGACTCCTCCTGATGAAGTGTTGCCCATTGTCTGAGTTTTCCTTATCCTGTTAAAAGCAAACTGCTGTTAACTTTCACAAAGGCTGTCCCCAAGTGCTGTTCAAAGCCCCATCCTATGGTTGTCATGGTGATGACTTGCTTCCCTAAGGAAATATATAGGAGGAAAAGT